CCTCATTTACTTTCATTTTGCATGATATGTCCATTGGTGAAAGTGTGGTGTTAAAGTCCCCTACTATGATTGCGTTACTGTCGATTTCCCCTTTTATGGCTGTTTAGCATTTGCCTTATGTATTGAGGTGCTCCTATGTTGGGTGCATAAATATTTACAATTGTTATATCTTCTTCTTGGATTGATCCCTTGATCATTATGTAATGTCCGCTTTTGTTTCTTCTAATAGTCTTTGTTTTAAAGTCTTATTTTGTCTGGTATGAGAATTGCTACTCCAGCTTTCTTTGACTTCCAGTTACGTGGAATATCTTTTTCCAACCCCTCACTTTCAGTCTGTATGTGTCCCAGAGTCTGAAGTGGGTCTCTTGTAGACAGCATATATACGGGTCTTGTTTTTGTTTCCATTCAGCCAATCTGTGTCTTTTGGTTGGAGTATTTAATCCAATTACATCTAAGGTAGTTATCGATATGTATTACCTATTACCATTTTCTTAATTGTTTTGGGTTTGTTATTGTAGGTCTTTTCCTTCTTTTGTGTTTTCTGCCTTGGGAAGTTCCTTTAGCATTCGTTGTAAAGCTGGTTTGGTGGTGCTGAATTCTCTTAGCTTTTGCTTGTTTGTAAAGGTTTTAATTTCTCCACCAAGTCTGAATGAGATCCTTACTGGGTACAGAAATCTTGGTTGTAGGTTTTTCCCTCTCATCACTTTAAATATGTCCTGCCACTCCCTTCCGGCATGGAGAGTTCCTGCTGTAAGATCAGCTGTTAACCTTGTGGGGACTCCCTTGTATGTTATTTGTTGTTTTTCCCTTGCTGCTTTTAATATTTTTTCTTTGTATTTAATTTCTGATAGTTTAATATGTGTCTTGGTGTGTTTCCCCTTGGATTTATTCTGTATGGGACTCTCTGTGCTTCCTGGACTTGATTAACTATTTGTTTTCCCATATTAGGGAAGTTTTCAACTATAATCTCTTGAAAAATTTTCTCAGTCCCTTTCTTTTTCTCTTCTTCTTCTGGGACCCCTATAATGCTAATGTTGGTGCATTTAATGTTGTCCCAGAGGTCTCTGAGACTGTCCTCAATTCTTTACATTTTTTTTTCTTTATTCTTCTCTGCAGTTGTTATTTCCACTATTTTATCTTCTAGGTCACTTATCCGTTCTTCTGCCTCAGTTATTCTGCTATTGATCCCTTCTAGATAATTTTAAATTTCATTTACTGTGTTGTTCGTCACTGTTTGTTTGCTCTTTAGTTCTTCTAGGTCCTTGTTAAACGTTTCTTGTATTTTCTCCACTCTATTTCCAAGACTTTGGATCATCTTTACTCTCACTACTCTGAACTCTTTTTCATGTAGACTGCCTATTTCCTCTTTATTTGTTAGGTCTGGTGGGCTTTTACCTTGCTCCTTCATCTGCTGTGTGTTTCTCTGTCTTCTCATTTTGCTTAACTTACTGTGTTTGGGGTCTCCTTCTCACAGGCTGCAGGTTCGTAGTTCCCGTTGTTTTTGGTGTCTGCCCCCAGTGCTAAGGTTGGTTCAGTGGGTTGTGTAGGCTTCCTGGTGGAGGGGACCAGTGCCTGTGTTCTGGTGAATGAGGCTGGATCTTATTTTTCTAGTGGGCAGGTCCACGTCTGGTGGTGTGCTTTGGGGTGTCTGTGGCTTTATTATGATTTTAGGCAGCCTCTCTGCTAATGGGTGGGGTTGTGTTCCTGTCTTGCTAGTTGTTTGGCATAGGGTGTCCAGCACTGTAGCTTGCTGGTCGTTTAGTGGAACTGGGTCTTGGCGTTGAGATGGAGATCTCTGGGAGATTTTCGCTGTTTGATATTACGTGGAGCTGGGAGGTCTCTTGTGGACCAATGCCCTGAACTTGGGTCTCCCACCTCAGAGGCACAGCCCTGACACCTGGCTGGAGAACCAAGAGCCTGTCATCCACACATCTTAGAATAAAAGCGAGAAAAAAAAGAGAGAAAGAAGATAAAATAAAATAATGTTATTAAATTAAAAAATAATTATTATAAAAATTTTCTAAAAGTAATAAAAAAAAGGAAAGAAGAGAGCAACCAAACCAAAAACAAATCTACCAATGATAATAAGGGCTAAAAACTATAGTAAAAAAAAGAAAAAGAAAAAAAAATCCAGACAGACAGAACCCTAGGACAAATGGTAAAAGCAAAGCTATAGAGATAAAATCACACACTGAAGCAAACACATACACACTCACAAAAAGAGAAAAAGGGGGAAAAAAAAATATCGTTGCTCCCAAAGTCCACCTCCTCAATTTGAGATGATTCGTTGTGTATTCAGGTATTCCACAGATGCAGGGTACATCAAGTTGATTATGGAGATTTAATCCACTGTTCCTGAGGCTGCTAGGAGGGATTTCCCTTTCTCTTCTTTATTTGCATAGCTCCCGGGGTTCTGCTTTGGATTTGGACCGGCCTCTGCGTGTAGGTCGCCTGAGGGCGTCTGTTCTTCGCTCAGAGAGGATGGGGTTAAAGGAGCAGCTGCTTCGGGGTCTCTCGCTCACCCAGGCTGGGGGCAGGGAGGGGTACGGAGTTCGTGGTGAGCCTGCTGCAGCAGAGGCCGGTGTCACGTTGCAGCAGCCTGATGCGTGCCATGCATTCTCCTGGGGAAGTTGTCCCTGGATCCCGGGACCCTGGCAGTGGCGGGCTGCACAGGCTCCCCGGAAGGGGTGTGTGGATAGTGATCCGTGCTCGCACACAGACTTCTTGGTGGCGGTAGCAGCAGCTTTAGTGTCTCAGGCCCATCTCTGGGGTCCACGCCCATTTCTGGAGCTCCTTTAAGCTGCACTCTTAATCCCCTCTCCTCGCGCACCAGGAAACAAAGAGGGAAGGAAAAGCCTCTTGCCTCTTCGGCAGGTCCAGACTCTTCCCCGGACTCCCTCCTGGCTAGCCGTGGCGCACTTACCCCCTGCAGGCTGTGTTCACGCAGCCAACCCCAGTCCTCTCCCTGCACTCCGACCAAAGCCCGAGCCTCAGCTCCCAGCCCCACCCACCCTGGTGGGTGAGAAGACAAGCCTCTCGGGCTGGTGAGCGCCGGTCGGCACCGACCCTCTGTGCGGGAATCTCTCCGCTTTGCCCTCCGCACCCCTGTTGCCGTGCTCTCCTCCGCGGCTCCGAAGCTTTCCCCCTCCGCCACCCGCAGTCTCCCCGCGAAGGGGCTTCCTAGTGTGTGGAAACCTTTCCTCCTTCACAGCTCCCTCCCACTGGTGCAGGTCCCATCCCTATTCTTTTGTCTCTGTTTTTTTTCTGTTTTCTTTTGCCCTACCCAGGTACGTGGGGAGTTTCTTGCCTTTTGGAAGGTCTGAAATCTTCTGCCAGCGTTCAGTAGGTGTTCTGTAGAAGTTGTTCCACATGTAGATGTATTTCTGATGTATTTGTGGGGAGGAAGGTGATCTCCACGTCTTACTCTTCTGTCATCTTCTCTCCTTCTTTTCTATATCAGTTATTTTTTAAATGTCCCAAGTGATTCTAACATATAGGAAGTTGAGAACCACTCACCTCAATAACAGGTTTCTTGATTTGTAAGTACTATTCATTCATTTGGTCAATAGCTATGGGTGTCTATTATAAAGGTAGAAAACTGGCAGCCCTGGCATATTTTGTCTTTGGCCAACAGAGTGTTTTCAAAAAATTTTAGAGTTTAGACAATACTTTTAAAATTGGGAGAGTTATTGTAAACATTGGGATACTGAGGTCCTCTTGAAAAGAATGAAAGATCTGGCAAGCCTGGGCCTATGTTCTTGCAAGACAAAACTTGGCTAGAACTGAACTGCAGGTGCCCCTTCTAGACGGAAAAGGAGAATCCACTTTGCTGTAGTTCTCACCACTCCCTACAGCTCTCTCAGAGGCTGAGTGTCAACTGCCATGTATTGTATCATTTGCATAGCTGTTAATATTACTGTTTTAATACTAGAGAACAACTTCTTTGAAGCACTATCTAATGCCTCTCCCCTAACCGCCCCCCTCCACTCCCAATAGGGCTCACTGTTGAATTAGAAAATGTTTCTCTGCCTCAAAGATCCAGGCATCCAGCCCACTCTACTCGTTTATGTTTTCTGACTGGCTTCTGTGGTAATATGAGTTTGCAGCCCCGGCCTAATATATGGCAAGCACTGTGTTAGATGCTAGGGATATAGAAGAACGAGGTTCAGTGCCATTTTGGAGGAAGTCACGCTTAATTGGGGAATGCAGACATATTAATTAAAAAGTACTGCAAAAAAAAAAAGAAAGAAAAAACAAAAAAAAGCCATCAAAAGAGGAGAACAATGCTTGTTAGTATAGAATACGTGGCATTTGAGTTGGATCTAGAAACATGAATTGGGCGTTTTTTTCCAGGCAGAAAGGCAAAGAAGCCATTTTAGGCCAACAAAACAGCAATCCCAAAATACAAACATATGAAAGCCCAGAGTGGTCAGAAATTAACACATGGGAAATGAGAGAAAGGGTCTGGAGGTGAAACTGTGGAGTAAGTCTGGAGTAGAGGAGGTTGGCTTTGTGTAAGTTCCCAAGGGTTTTTTCATTCTATCTTTAAGATAGTGGGAAAGGTATTAAAAGTCTTTAATCAAAGAGTGACACGATCACATTTCTATTTCTATTATCAGAAAGAAATCTGAGAGCAATGTGAAGATTAACTGGGAGGGTGAGGTGAGTGACAGTGGGGAACCTGAACAATGAAAGTAGCAATAGGATCAGATTTGAGAGACGTTTGGGAGGTATAACTGGCAGGGCGTGGAAGCATACAGGAAATAGAGAGGAACAACCCAGGATGTTTGACTTATCGTTTAAAAATCGAGAAGATATTTTAGTCGCTATAAGAGAAATTTAAAATAATGACTCATCACTGACTTGAGTTGATGTTAAAGTGACTTAATATTTAACCCCAAGCTATAAAGCATCGTCACAAGGTTGTTCCACCCCCCACCCCCACCCCTTTTTGGTCTTACAAATAAACATGCTTATAATTTAGATACGTGAGTACATACCTGATTCTGCTGAACTCAGAGGATGACCTCCAAATTTTATTTCAGTTTGGCGGAGTTTAGTCATGTTTAGCAGCTGTGTGACTTGTGGAACATCTGTTGTTAGTTGGCAGCTTCGTGGAATGATGTCTGTAGGTTCATCTGTTGGAAAGGGAACACCATATCCAGTTGAAAATAAAGACTACCATTCATTCCCCAAATGTAAGCCATTTCTGTGAAATGTACATATCTTATAAATGAAATCAATTAAATTTAAACATTTTAGAGTATAACTTCAGATGAGTTACTCAACCGTACAGGCTTGGTTTTCTCATCTGTAAAATGAGCATGATAATTTTAATGTTCACTTTCTAGGACTGTAGAAAGGATTAAATGAGATAGAGTACTTAACATATGGAACAGGTTCAGAGACTTCTGCAATAAATGAGAGCACTGACTGGAAACATTTTATATTTGTTTTTTAATACTAGAGTGGTACTTGAATGAAGAACTAGCTAGGTATGCTTCAAGAAAGGTTTCTGGGAGTACACTGGCTCATTTATACAAGGTCGATAAGTACAATGACATTACTGAATAAGCACCTAGAGCCATTATATGAGTCAATTTTTAAACTTTTTATTTTGAAATAATTTTAGAATTACAGAAAAGTTACAAAAATAGTAGAGAGTTCCAATATACCCTTTACCCAGCTTCGCCTACTGTTAACATCCTACCTTCAAATACTTTCAAAGAAAAAAATAGTTTAATTAAAATAGTATTTTTATTATAGTTTGTATTTCCAATGAGATTTAATATTGTTCATATATGTTTATATGGATATTTAAGTTTTCATTATGGTAAATTTTCTGTTCATGTTCTTAACCCATTTTACTTTTTTTTTTTTTGCAGTACGCGGGCCTCTCACCGTTGCGGCCTCTCCCGTTGTGGAGCACAGGCTCCGGATGCGCAGGCTTAGCGGCCATGGCTCACGGGCCTAGCCACTCTGTGGCATGTGAGATCTTCCCGGACCGGGGCACGAACCCGTGTCCCCTGCATCGGCAGGTGGACTCTCAACCAGTGCGCCACTAGGGAAGCCCACCCATTTTACTTTTATAGCATTTTAAAAAGTTATTTATATGATCTATTCTGTGGCAAAGATATTACGCTTTGTCATATGTAGCAAGTAGGAATTAAGTTGCTATTAGCATTCCAAAAAGCAATTTTACTGTGTACATCAAAAGCCTTAAAAATGTCCATGCCATTTTACTCAGTAATTTCACTTTATGAATCTATTCTAAAGTAAACAAATCAGAAACTCAGATGAAGATCTATGTAAATAAGTGTTTATAATTTCTGAAAAATGAAGCAACTGGAATTTTCAGTAAAGAGTCACAGAAAATTATATTTATGAAGATAGCTTGATGATATGGGAAAGGCTCAAGACAGGAAGTTAAATGAAAGTAACATATCCAAAACTCTATCTCAACTTAACAATTTTAGAAAATCGTTAAATAAAATGTATGAATGGCAAAAGGACTAGAAGGAAATATACCAAAATGTAAAATAACTTTTCACGATTAGCTTAAGCATAGTTTTTATTTTCTTCTTCAGAATAATTTGTGTTTAATTTTTATTAGGAAAGAGTTTCTATTTTTAGAATCTAGTGGAAAAATTTGGTGTGTGTATATGTAAATGTGAGTAGTAAGAAAAATTCAACCAAATTCATCCCTCAAAAACATCCTTAGGTATGTATAAACTCTAACCATGTATATAAAGGCAAATGATGTTAGGGTTTTGTACATCCAAGCCATGGCAATTCCCTAATTAGATCTTAATGTCCTAATCTTGAAAAGGAAAATGAATCATTTAGCTAAAAACAAATGCTCATCAGCAGTGTCATGGCTTCTAAATATCCTAATGCTCCAGTAACTACAAATACCACTGGGTTTACAAATCTTAGTTTTCAGGTATTCTTTGTCCATTCATTTCTTATTTGTCATCGACATTTAGTAAAGTAATTGAGTAAATGAATTCTCAAAATAGAAAACTTTTGGAAAATAAGTAGACTAACTCCAGATGTATATCTGACATGTCATTTCAGACTTCTCTGAGGTAGAAAAACATAATTTCCACATCAATGCCAATATTGATAGACTAAGATTTTATATTAATAGAGGAAGAGAATTCTGTAGGCTAATAAGATTCTGAATCCTATGAAGAGAAAACATGGAAACTTTAGCTCATAGGGCTTGTGTGGATGTATAATGCCATACAAAGTTTGAACTGTATCCAAAAGAAAAGCTGAGTTTCCAACTAACAAGGGACAGACAGCAAATTCTGGTAACCAAAACTCCATAAGCTTTTATGAAAGAACAAGGCAGAGACTATTACAAAACTCTAATCTGAATCCTACAGGAACGTGGCTAACATGCAAATCAGATTTCACATTAAAAGGCTCAAATCCCCTCTGCATCAGTTTTCCTTTCTCTGTATCTCTCTTTGTTCTCGGAACATCTCACTATTTATTGGATTATTCATTGAGGGAAACTGTGGGCAGTATAAAACCTTCAATAAAAGAAGAAATCCAAGAAAAAAAGTACTGATTTATTATTTTAAAATAGAGCCTAATCATTCAGCAACTACTGTCAAACTTTGAGACTTTGTAGAGAAAGTCTCATTTGTGAGAAAGAGGAAAGGGGCCTTAGTTTCATTTTTGCAATGCCAAACTATGAAGGAGCTTTAAACCTGGTAGTTGGATGTTCTGATAGACCTAAATAGAACTTAACTCATCTCCCCACTAAACAACCCCCTTCTCCAGGCCCAATTACTAGGTTACGTTATTTTATTTTTTAAGCATTTACAGCTTAATTTAAAAATAAGGATTAATTCTGAAAATAGCATAGATCCTACATAAAAATTAAATCGTGCTGAACTGTGAGTATTAGAGGGCATGGTCTGCCTGTATCATTCATTTACTCATTTTATCATTCAGTAAACACTTATTGAGCCTCTACTATGTGCCAGGCCCTCATCTTCATCTAGTGGCTGGGAATGCAGTGGTGAGCCAGAGTGACTCTGTGCCGGCCTTACTGAAGTTTATACCTAGCAGAGAATATGAAACAAGTTATACCACAAATATTTAAATTATAATTGTGTTAAGTGCTCTGAAAGAAAAGTTCAAGATGTTATAAAAGAAGCAATGGGGGAATCCAACATCACACGGTGTTAGGGAAA